TGGTCTGTTGTGTGTCGCAGTGACTGTGATTGGTCTGTTGTGTGTCGCAGTGACTGTGATTGGTCTGTTGTGTGTCGCGGTGACTGTGATTGGTCTGTTGTGTGTCTCAGTGACTGTGATTGGTCTGTTGTGTGTTGCAGTGACTGTGATTGGTCTGTTGTGTGTTGCAGTGACTGTGATTGGTCTGTTGTGTGTCTCACTGACTGTGATTGGTCTGTTGTGTGTCGCGGTGACTGTGATTGGACTGTTGTGTGTCGCAGTGACTGTGATTGGTCTGTTGTGTGTCGCAGTGACTGTGATTGGTCTGTTGTGTGTCGCGGTGACTGTGATTGGTCTGTTGTGTGTCGCAGTGACTGTGATTGGTCTGTTTTGTGTCTCAGTGACTGTGATTGGTCTGTTGTGTGTTGCAGTGACTGTGATTGGTCTGTTGTGTGTCGCAATGACTGTGATTGGTCTGTTGTGTGTCGCAGTGACTGTGATTGGTCTGTTGTGTGTCGCGGTGACTGTGATTGGTCTGTTGTGTGTCGCGGTGACTGTGATTGGTCTGTTGTGTGTCGCGGTGACTGTGATTGGTCTGTTGTGTGTCGCGGTGACTGTGATTGGTCTGTTGTGTGTCTCAGTGACTGTGATTGGTCTGTTGTGTGTCGCGGTGACTGTGATTGGTCTGTTGTGTGTCGCGGTGACTGTGATTGGTCTGTTGTGTGTCGCAGTGACTGTGATTGGTCTGTTGTGTGTCTCAGTGACTGTGATTGGTCTGTTGTGTGTCGCAGTGACTGTGATTGGTCTGTTGTGTGTCGCGGTGACTGTGATTGGTCTGTTGTGTGTCGCAGTGACTGTGATTGGTCTGTTGTGTGTTGCAGTGACTGTGATTGATCTGTTGTGTGTCGCAGTGACTGTGATTGGTCTGTTGTGTGTCGCGGTGACTGTGATTGGTCTGTTGTGTGTCGCGGTGACTGTGATTGGTCTGTTGTGTGTCTCAGTGACTGTGATTGGTCTGTTGTGTGTCGCAGTGACTGTGATTGGTCTGTTGTGTGTCGCAGTGACTGTGATTGGTCTGTTGTGTGTTGCAGTGACTGTGATTGATCTGTTGTGTGTCGCAGTGACTGTGATTGGTCTGTTGTGTGTCGCGGTGACTGTGATTGGTCTGTTGTGTGTCGCAGTGACTGTGATTGATCTGTTGTGTGTCGCAGTGACTGTGATTGGTCTGTTGTGTGTCGCAGTGACTGTGATTGGTCTGTTGTGTGTCGCAGTGACTGTGATTGGTCTGTTGTGTGTCGCAGTGACTGTGATTGGTCTGTTGTGTGTCGCAGTGACTGTGATTGGTCTGTTGTGTGTCGCAGTGACTGTGATTGGTCTGTTGTGTGTCGCGGTGACTGTGATTGGTCTGTTGTGTGTCTCAGTGACTGTGATTGGTCTGTTGTGTGTCGCAGTGACTGTGATTGGTCTGTTGTGTGTCGCAGTGACTGTGATTGGTCTGTTGTGTGTCGCAGTGACTGTGATTGGTCTGTTGTGTGTCGCAGTGACTGTGATTGGTCTGTTGTGTGTCGCAGTGACTGTGATTGGTCTGTTGTGTGTCGCGGTGACTGTGATTGGTCTGTTGTGTGTTGCAGTGACTGTGATTGGTCTGTTGTGTGTCGCGGTGACTGTGATTGGTCTGTTGTGTGTCTCAGTGACTGTGATTGGTCTGTTGTGTGTCGCAGTGACTGTGATTGGTCTGTTGTGTGTTGCAGTGACTGTGATTATTCTGTTGTGTGTCGCAGTGACTGTGATTGGTCTGTTGTGTGTCGCAGTGACTGTGATTGGTCTGTTGTGTGTCGCAGTGACTGTGATTGGCCTGTTGTGTGTCGCGGTGACTGTGATTGGTCTGCTGTGTGTCTCAGTGACTGTGATTGGTCTGTTGTGTGTCTCAGTGACTGTGATTGGTCTGTTGTGTGTCGCAGTGACTGTGATTGGTCTGTTGTGTGTCTCGGTGACTGTGATTGGTCTGTTGTGTGTCGCGGTGACTGTGATTGGTATGTTGTGTGTCGCGGTGACTGTGATTGGTCTGTTGTGTGTCGCAGTGACTGTGATTGGTCTGTTGTGTGTCGCAGTGACTGTGATTGGTCTGTTGTGTGTCGCAGTGACTGTGATTGGTCTGTTGTGTGTCGCGGTGACTGTGATTGGTCTGTTGTGTGTCGCAGTGACTGTGATTGGTCTGTTGTGTGTCGCAGTGACTGTGATTGGTCTGTTGTGTGTCGCGGTGACTGTGATTGGTCTGTTGTGTGTCTCAGTGACTGTGATTGGTCTGTTGTGTGTCGCAGTGACTGTGATTGGTCTGTTGTGTGTCGCAGTGACTGTGATTGGTCTGTTGTGTGTCGCAGTGACTGTGATTGGTCTGTTGTGTGTCGCAGTGACTGTGATTGGTCTGTTGTGTGTCGCGGTGACTGTGATTGGTCTGTTGTGTGTCGCGGTGACTGTGATTGGTCTGTTGTGTGTCGCAGTGACTGTGATTGGTCTGTTGTGTGTCGCAGTGACTGTGATTGGTCTGTTGTGTGTCGCGGTGACTGTGATTGGTCTGTTGTGTGTCTCAGTGACTGTGATTGGTCTGTTGTGTGTCGCAGTGACTGTGATTGGTCTGTTGTGTGTCGCGGTGACTGTGATTGGTCTGTTGTGTGTCGCGGTGACTGTGATTGGTCTGTTGTGTGTCTCAGTGACTGTGATTGGTCTGTTGTGTGTCGCAGTGACTGTGATTGGTCTGCTGTGTGTCTCAGTGACTGTGATTGGTCTGTTGTGTGTCTCAGTGACTGTGATTGGTCTGTTGTGTGTCGCAGTGACTGTGATTGGTCTGTTGTGTGTCTCGGTGACTGTGATTGGTCTGTTGTGTGTCGCGGTGACTGTGATTGGTATGTTGTGTGTCGCGGTGACTGTGATTGGTCTGTTGTGTGTCGCGGTGACTGTGATTGGTCTGTTGTGTGTCTCAGTGACTGTGATTGGTCTGTTGTGTGTCGCGGTGACTGTGATTGGTCTGTTGTGTGTCGCGGTGACTGTGATTGGTCTGTTGTGTGTCGCAGTGACTGTGATTGGTCTGTTGTGTGTCTCAGTGACTGTGATTGGTCTGTTGTGTGTCTCAGTGACTGTGATTGGTCTGTTGTGTGTCGCAGTGACTGTGATTGGTCTGTTGTGTGTCGCGGTGACTGTGATTGGTCTGTTGTGTGTCGCAGTGACTGTGATTGGTCTGTTGTGTGTCTCAGTAACTGTGATTGGTCTGTTGTGTGTCGCAGTGACTGTGATTGGTCTGTTGTGTGTCTCGGTGACTGTGATTGGTCTGTTGTGTGTCGGGGTGACTGTGATTGGTATGTTGTGTGTCGCGGTGACTGTGATTGGTCTGTTGTGTGTCGCGGTGACTGTGATTGGTCTGTTGTGTGTCTCAGTGACTGTGATTGGTCTGTTGTGTGTCGCAGTGACTGTGATTGGTCTGCTGTGTGTCTCAGTGACTGTGATTGGTCTGTTGTGTGTCTCAGTGACTGTGATTGGTCTGTTGTGTGTCGCGGTGACTGTGATTGGTCTGTTGTGTGTCTCGGTGACTGTGATTGGTCTGTTGTGTGTCGCGGTGACTGTGATTGGTCTGTTGTGTGTCGCAGTGACTGTGATTGGTCTGTTGTGTGTCGCAGTGACTGTGATTGGTCTGTTGTGTGTCGCAGTGACTGTGATTGGTCTGTTGTGTGTCGCGGTGACTGTGATTGGTCTGTTGTGTGTCTCAGTGACTGTGATTGGTCTGTTGTGTGTCGCAGTGACTGTGATTGGTCTGTTGTGTGTCGCAGTGACTGTGATTGGTCTGTTGTGTGTCGCAGTGACTGTGATTGGTCTGTTGTGTGTCTCAGTGACTGTGATTGGTCTGTTGTGTGTCGCAGTGACTGTGATTGGTCTGTTGTGCGTCGCGGTGACTGTGATTGGTCTGTTGTGTGTCGCGGTGACTGTGATTGGTCTGTTGTGTGTCGCAGTGACTGTGATTGGTCTGTTGTGTGTTGCAGTGACTGTGATTGGTCTGTTGTGTGTCGCAGTGACTGTGATTGGTCTGTTGTGCGTCGCGGTGACTGTGATTGGTCTGTTGTGTGTCGCAGTGACTGTGATTGGTCTGTTGTGTGTCGCAGTGACTGTGATTGGTCTGTTGTGTGTCGCAGTGACTGTGATTGGTCTGTTGTGCGTCGCGGTGACTGTGATTGGTCTGTTGTGTGTCGCAGTGACTGTGATTGGTCTGTTGTGTGTCGCGGTGACTGTGATTGGTCTGTTGTGTGTCTCAGTGACTGTGATTGGTCTGTTGTGTGTCGCGGTGACTGTGATTGGTCTGTTGTGTGTCGCAGTGACTGTGATTGGTCTGTTGTGCGTCGCGGTGACTGTGATTGGTCTGTTGTGTGTCTCAGTGACTGTGATTGGTCTGTTGTGTGTCGCGGTGACTGTGATTGGTCTGTTGTGTGTCGCGGTGACTGTGATTGGTCTGTTGTGTGTTGCAGTGACTGTGATTGATCTGTTGTGTGTTGCAGTGACTGTGATTGGTCTGTTGTGCGTCGCGGTGACTGTGATTGGTCTGTTGTGTGTCGCGGTGACTGTGATTGGTCTGTTGTGTGTCTCAGTGACTGTGATTGGTCTGTTGTGTGTCGCAGTGACTGTGATTGGTCTGTTGTGTGTCGCGGTGACTGTGATTGGTCTGTTGTGTGTCGCGGTGACTGTGATTGGTCTGTTGTGTGTTGCTGTGACTGTGATTGGTCTGTTGTGTGTCGCAGTGACTGTGATTGGTCTGTTGTGTGTCGGAGTGACTGTGATTGGTCTGTTGTGTGTCGCAGTGACTGTGATTGGTCTGTTGTGTGTCTCAGTGACTGTGATTGGTCTGTTGTGTGTTGCAGTGACTGTGATTGGTCTGTTGTGTGTTGCAGTGACTGTGATTGGTCTGTTGTGTGTTGCAGTGACTGTGATTGGTCTGTTGTGTGTTGCAGTGACTGTGATTGGTCTGTTGTGTGTTGCAGTGACTGTGATTGGTCTGCTGCGTTACGCTCAGCTGATCCATAAGGAGAGCAACACCGTGTTGAACATCGAGGGTCTGTTTGCCGGATGGCTCTGTGCCGCAGGACTCATGATTGTTGGAAACTTTCAAGTAAGAAAACAATGACAAAATGACTCTTTTTCTTCAATATGATTCATTAAAGAGCATCACAATTCATATACATTTGCAAGAGTCTAATATTTTGAAGCACAATTTAATGGATTGTGATGGTTTCAACTTTCTTTTAGGTTGAATCATACAAGCAGTCATGACATACTGACTAGTTTTATCAAAGATAAATCTTTTGTACATTTTTTTGTTTTGTTTATTTTGTGATTTGTATATTTTGGTACCTTTTTAACATGTTTCTCGCCATAAATATGGCCGTGGTAACTGGCATGGCGTTAAACTATAAACAAATTAACAACCATAGATGCATTTAAAGTACTTAGACTACAAACTAAGCCTCAGCAGTTCAGGATAAACCGTAACATCACCATTACATGTGAGAAATCCCCAGAAAACATCTGAAGTGCTGCTCGTCCTCTAGGCGTCTCCTCCAGATCTCTGCCTGCGCCTTTCAACTTTTATCGGTGCAAGAACAAACACATTCAGACTTTTATTCCTGCTGCTAAAGTTTATTAGAGCTTTGAATAAACCCATAAATGTGTGTTTTCCTTTGCTTCAGCAGATGTTATGTAACATTATTATGATCAGATAAACACGGCTGACTCCGCAGGGTCTCTCCTGTCCGCATCCGCTGATTGTGTGTTATTGCATAAGTGTAAAAATCAAAGGCTTTTCTCTGTCTCCTGCAGTGATGGAAGTGTGTGCACATGTGATCACTAAACCTCAGGTTAATCTGGTTCAGCAAAACACTAAACCTCAGGTTAATCTGATTCAGCAAAACACTAAACCTCAGGTTAATCAGGTTCAGCAAAACACTAAACCTCAGGTTAATCTCAGATCTGGATCAGCAAAACACTAAACCTCAGGTTAATCTGGTTCAGCAAAACACTAAACATCAGGTTAATCTGATTCAGAAAAACACTAAACCTCAGGTTAATCTCAGATCTGGATCAGCAAAACACTAAACCTCAGGTTCATCTGATTCAGCAAAACACTAAACCTCAGGTTAATCTGGTTCAGCAAAACACTAAACCTCAGGTTAATCTGGATCAGCAAAACACTAAACCTCAGGTTAATCTCAGATCTGGATCAGCAAAACACTAAACCTCAGGTTAATCTCAGATCTGGATCAGCAAAACACTAAACCTCAGGTTCATCTGATTCAGCAAAACACTAAACCTCAGGTTAATCTGGTTCAGCAAAACACTAAACCTCAGGTTAATCTGGATCAGCAAAACACTAAACCTCAGGTTAATCTCAGATCTGGATCAGCAAAACACTAAACCTCAGGTTAATCTGGTTCAGCAAAACACTAAACCTCAGGTTAATCTGATTCAGCCAAACACTAAACCTCAGGTTAATCTGGTTCAGCAAAACACTAAACCTCAGGTTAATCTGGTTCAGCAAAACACTAAACCTCAGGTTAATCTGGTTCAGCAAAACACTAAACCTCAGGTTAATCTCAGATCTGGATCAGCAAAACACTAAACCTCAGGTTAATCTGGTTCAGCAAAACACCAAACCTCAGGTTAATCTGATTCAGAAAAACACTAAACCTCAGGTTAATCTGGATCAGCAAAACACTAAACCTCAGGTTAATCTGGTTCAGCAAAACACTAAACCTCAGGTTAATCTGGTTCATCAAAAGACTAAACCTCAGGTTAATCTGGTTCAGCAAAACACTAAACCTCAGGTTAATCTCAGATCTGGATCAGCAAAACACTAAACCTCAGGTTAATCTGCTTCAGCAAAACACTAAACCTCAGGTTAATCTGGTTCAGCAAAACACTAAACCTCAGGTTAATCTGATTCAGAAAAACACTAAACCTCAGGTTAATCTGATTCAGAAAAACACTAAACCTCAGGTTAATCTGGATCAGCAAAACACTAAACCTCAGGTTAATCTGGTTCAGCAAAACACTAAACCTCAGGTTAATCTGGTTCAGCAAAACACTAAACCTCAGGTTAGTCTGATTCAGAAAAACACTAAACCTCAGGTTAATCTGATTCAGAAAAACACTAAACCTCAGGTTAATCTGGATCAGCAAAACACTAAACCTCAGGTTAATCTGGTTCAGCAAAACACTAAACCTCAGGTTAATCTGGTTCAGCAAAACACTAAACTTCAGGTTAATCTGATTCAGCAAAAGACTAAACCTCAGGTTAATCTGGATCAGCAAAACACTAAACCTCAGGTTAATCTGATTCAGCAAAACACTAAACCTCAGGTTAATCTGGTTCAGCAAAACACTAAACCTCAGGTTAATCTGGATCAGCAAAACACTAAACCTCAGGTTAATCTGATTCAGCAAAAGACTAAACCTCAGGTTAATCTGGATCAGCAAAACACTAAACCTCAGGTTAATCTGATTCAGAAAAACACTAAACCTCAGGTTAATCTGATTCAGCAAAACACTAAACCTCAGGTTAATCTGATTCAGAAAAACACTAAACCTCAGGTTAATCTGGATCAGCAAAACACTAAACCTCAGGTTAATCTGGTTCAGAAAAACACTAAACCTCAGGTTAATCTGGTTCAGCAAAACACTAAATCTCAGGTTAATCTGATTCAGAAAAACACTAAACCTCAGGTTAATCTGGATCAGCAAAACACTAAACCTCAGGTTAATCTGATTCAGCAAAACACTAAACCTCAGGTTAATCTGGTTCAGCAAAACACTAAACCTCAGGTTAATCTGGTTCAGCAAAACACTAAACCTCAGGTTAATCTGATTCAGAAAAACACTAAACCTCAGGTTAATCTGGATCAGCAAAACACTAAACCTCAGGTTAATCTGATTCAGCAAAACACTAAACCTCAGGTTAATCTGGTTCAGCAAAACACTAAACCTCAGGTTAATCTGATTCAGCAAAACACTAAACCTCAGGTTAATCTGGTTCAGCAAAACACTAAACCTCAGGTTAATCTGGATCAGCAAAACACTAAACCTCAGGTTAATCTGATTCAGCAAAAGACTAAACCTCAGGTTAATCTGGATCAGCAAAACACTAAACCTCAGGTTAATCTGATTCAGAAAAACACTAAACCTCAGGTTAATCTGATTCAGCAAAACACTAAACCTCAGGTTAATCTGGATCAGCAAAACACTAAACCTCAGGTTAATCTGATTCAGAAAAACACTAAACCTCAGGTTAATCTGATTCAGAAAAACACTAAACCTCAGGTTAATCTGATTCAGAAAAACACTAAACCTCAGGTTAATCTGATTCAGCAAAACACTAAACCTCAGGTTAATCTGGATCAGCAAAACACTAAACCTCAGGTTAATCTGGTTCAGAAAAACACTAAACCTCAGGTTAATCTGATTCAGCAAAAGACTAAACCTCAGGTTAATCTGGATCAGCAAAACACTAAACCTCAGGTTAATCTGATTCAGAAAAACACTAAACCTCAGGTTAATCTGATTCAGCAAAACACTAAACCTCAGGTTAATCTGATTCAGCAAAAGACTAAACCTCAGGTTAATCTGGATCAGCAAAACACTAAACCTCAGGTTAATCTGATTCAGAAAAACACTAAACCTCAGGTTAATCTGGATCAGCAAAACACTAAACCTCAGGTTAATCTGATTCAGCAAAACACTAAACCTCAGGTTAATCTGGATCAGCAAAACACTAAACCTCAGGTTAATCTGGATCAGCAAAACACTAAACCTCAGGTTAATCTGGTTCAGAAAAACACTAAACCTCAGGTTAATCTGGTTCAGCAAAACACTAAACCTCAGGTTAATCATTTTTTTTAGCTAATTTACAAATAGTTTATCCCTACAGGGTAGAAAACTCAACAAACAAAAACAGCACAACAACAATTATAAATTAAACAAAAATGTTGCATAAGACCGACACAACTCTTATAAAAACCTATAGAATTCATCTTAAAGTCCCATTTAAACTGCAAATGGAGGTTGGTATAAAAAAGCATGTTTTTCTATAACTCATTTGCTGTGACTGACTGTGTTTTCTGCAGGTGGATCATGCTAAAATCCTCCACTATGTGGGCGCGGGTCTGGCCTTCCCCGCGAGTCTGCTGTTCGTGTGTGTGCAGACGCTGCTGTCGTACCGCGCGGCCGAGACGCGGAGAGACTTCCAGACGGCTCATCTGAGGCTCACACTCACCTCACTGGCCTTCACCACCCTCATACTCAATATCCTTCAAAACATGTCATAAAGCGCTTAAAACTGTAAAAAAAAAAAAAAAATTATCATGATTTTAACGGTATTTTACTGTAAAAATGCTACGGTGAAGTATACAATATACAAAGAATAACTGTGATAGATCTAACCGTACATTTAATTACAGTAAAATACAGTTTTTGGAATTGTATAATTTACAGTGAAAAACCGTCCCACAATTCCCTGCGTGACACTTCACATTTGATGTATGCTATTATGTGAAATAACTGCGTTTCTTTATAGTTTTTCTTTTATGTTACATTTAATGTTGTTAAATTAATGTTTATTGCATTTAAAATGTCATGTGTGTTACCATGATGGTGTTTAGTGTGTGTGTGTGTGTGTGTGTGTGTGTGTGTGTGTGTGTGTGTGTGTGTGTGTGTGTGTGTGAGAGTGTGTGTGTGTGTGTGTGTGTGTGTGTGTGTGTGTGTGTGTGTGTGTGTGTGTGTGTGTGTGTGTGTGTGTGTGTGAATGACACTGTGCACCTGCTATATACTAGTATTAACTTTCTTGTGGAAAATCTGCTTGTGATGAGTTTTGATTGATCATGTGACTCATCTCCACTGTAATTTGGTGGTTGTCTGGTACAAAACAGATATAGTGTTTCAATTGGTGGGTAAATGAACATTATATGAGATAGTGAAATACGTTTTTTACTGTAAATTTAAGTTAAGTCTGTAAAACCTAAAGTGTTGCTACCGTATTTTTTACGGTAAAGTTCTGGCAACCACAGCGGCTGTTTTTTTACCGTAAATTTAACAGAATTTTTTCCCAGTGTATGGCCAGATGTTTATCCAGCTGTTCCTTAACGCTGTGTCCTGCAGGCGGCGTGTTCTTCATCCAGGAGAGTTTTGTTCTTCAGCATGCGGCGGCCATCTCGGAGTGGACGTTTGCCATCATCGTTCTGCTGTTCTACAGCTCGTTCTCGCACGAGTTCAGCTCCATCTCTTCAGAAACACTCGTGGCTCTCATGACCAGACGCAAACTAGAGAAAGTCTGACGTGTGAACATGATTATATAGAGAGAGAAGATGAGGACTAATGTGCAACCTGGTGGAAAAATCTTTATATTACACCCTTGTTAATAAAGGTTCTGTACTTGCATCGAAGCTTTAATCTTTCCATTGCACTAATGGTTCTTTAGATTATGAAAATGTTCTAAGTGTTTATGGTGAACTCAAGTTCAAGTGCCTAATAGCAAAGTGTCTTAATGTACAGTTAACAATAAATCGTTAAAAAAAAAACATGTTTGATCTTCAATTGGACTCGTCTTCAGCTTCGCATGTTCTGCGTTATGGTGAAGGTTATCAGAAGTATGAATGTTCACCGGTTTGTTTGCATTGTATTGGCAACATATTTACCACTTTTCTTTGGTAGTTCTGAGATATTTATTTAACTGGTTTATCTTCATGTCCTCACAGTGAGTACAGCAAATATATGTCAGATTTTATAGCTCAGTTATAGTTCTGTATTTTAGGAAAGACGTTTAGCTGAATAATTACTGGTCATTAAGTTTATTGGGTATAAACATGCACAAATAATTTGTGAAATATTATGGAAGTCTGTTATTATTTAATAACAGTTTTTTCCTTGCAATTTCAGATTTATATCCCACTTTTTTTCATGAACTGTGAGATATAAACTCGCAATTCTGAGGGGGAAAAGACGCAACTACTTTTTTATATATTATTTCGTGGTGGAAACCATAGGTGGAAAACAATCGCTTCCATAATAAAGCGATTGTACTTAGAAGGAATGCTAACATGATTACATGATTGCAAGAGGAGTTGAATATCTGTATCTATATCTGCAATAAACCTCAACAGATGATTTTGCTAAACTAACACAATACAACAAGACGAAGGCGTTAGCTAATACGACATTAAATTTACCTTATAAAAACATTAAAAAGTACCATAGTAAAACCTATTGAGTTAATATAGCTACATATAAAACACAAACCAACACATTCTCACCTGTTGAGAGGTTATCCCATTTCTTCAGGAATTTAACGTTTTAAAGCTTTTAGTTGTTTATGTGTCTATGTGGTGTTTTTAATATGCTTTAAGACAAACCGTGTAAATTCATAAGTCGGCAGCATTGCTGATTTTTGCTCAAAAACACGGTTTGAAATTGCTGGTGATTCTGACGTCACAAACGACCTTGTAACCAATCAGATCAACGTGTGATCGTCAACCAGTGGATCTCTGAGCTGAGTGAGTGAGTGGAGGCAGGGCTCATTTGCGTATTCATAATGCTATACTAAACTATTGATGATGCATTTTTTTCCAGGGAAAACTCTAAATATGTCATTTTGGTGCTCAAAGATGAGTTTTGAGGGATTGACTACAGCGGGACTTTAAATTTAGGCGGTTTCACTTCACAACCAGAATCTGCTCATTGTTGTTCTTACTGTGAGTGAAGACACGCTGACCGTTCCAAGATGGCGGGCGCGCCGACGTGTCTTGAGCGGTTGAATGTAGTTTCTACATTTACACGTTTCTATGGTTTCACTTCTGTGCCGTTACCATGGAGATTTTAAACAGAACACAATTGTAAATACAAACACATGTCTTCGCTTTAATATTATCGCTAAGACGTCACTTCACGGCGGGTTGGATACATAAGCGCAGGTGTTAGCCGTGTAATAGGTTGATTGTGTGGTTGTGTGTATGAGATGGACTCTCAGTATGTGAGCAGGACTCTGGGCCGCTGTCTCTCCGAGGCTCTCGCCGAACTAATCGAGTTCCGACCGCTGGATCCCATCGAGTTTCTGGCGCTCTGGATCCGCAAATACAAACACAACCAGGAGCTCGAGCTGCAGGTCACACACAACACACACACACACACACACACACACACACACACACACACACACACACACACACACACTGTCTCTATCTGTGTTGAGATGATAGTCTTCTGACATAACAATCAACTAACTACAAACGCGCTTAATGTTTTCGTAATGTAGTTTACTGGTGGGGTTTATGGATGCTGTTATTCGTTGGGAGTTTTTGAATGTAAATATCCCCACTAATTTATTAAGGATCATAACCCATCCTGTGTGTTCTCAGAAAGCCGCTCATCAGAGAGAGTTGGAGGAGGAGAAGCGGCGGGTCCATGAGGAGAATCTCCATCAGAGAGACCTGGAGGAGGAG